TTGTGATGAGACCAACTTACTATATAGGCACTAGGTTCTTAACTCCAGTTCTCATGATTTTGGAGCAAGTGCTCCTCACCATGGAGCCATAATCTCTCCAGTCCAACACTGATGTTTGTTTATTGCTATTTTGCTTGGATGGTGTTGGATATTGAAGAATGTCCTAGTTTGATTTCCAATACTATGATCGAAGGCAACTTGGGTTTATTTCATCTTACACTTCCAGGTAACAGTCCATGCCTGATGGAAGTCAGGGCAGGAATGCAAGGAAGATTGTGACCTAGATGTATAAGCCACATACAACCCTTTTTCTCCTAAATTGTTTTGGCCAGAGTGCTTCATCAGACCAACAGTGAAATAACTAGAACAGGGCATTCCCATGTGGTATGGGATGGTGATCTTCTTGCTGTTATTGGGGGAGTCACATCCCTGCAGTGGGTGATAAAGCATTCTACAAAGGCCAAGTCATCTGAGGGTGGAGTATTCTGGGGATAGGTTCTGGATTGGGCACCTTCCTGTCTGTAGAAGCATGCCTCACTGATCCATAAGGTCTGTCTCATGAATAAGGAGACACTCTCAAGAGTTGATGGTCTAGATAATATTTTGCAATCCCTAAAAAACCTACACATTGGGGCAGGTTCATAAGCAGACTCTGGCAACTGTTGGGTGGCTTTTGCTATGTGCAAAAAGAAATGCAACCGAGGCTTAGCTGTGTGCCCATAAAGAGCTTGACTATACCACAGGGAAAATGATGTGCAGATGCTGCCCTCTGCATTGGCCTCATGGGACCTGCAAGGATGAGATGGACTTTTCAGTTTGTCATTTTATACAGTTGTCAGGATGCAAAGGAAAGAGAGAACAAGTTAGATTGCGCTAAAGAGCTCTTCCTGGGATTTTGGAACCAGTGAGAGGATTCAGACAGTGTAGAGAGAGAGAACAAGGTAGAAGGTATAAAAAATACCCCTCAGGTCCAACCTTTAAAACAGAGGAAGTGAAAAACCTTGGCTTGGCACTCAGAGTGGGTCTTAATAATGGCCAAGCACTGGAAACTGTGACAATCAAGGAATGTTCCACATCTGAATTGCCTGAATGGGAAATGCTTTTATACAGGGAATAAAAGTACTTCTTGCAGCCTGGCTTGTGCAGCCGTGGGGTGGGAGGACCAATGATATCAATCTGAGTGCTGTAGAAGCAGAGAAACTATTAAAACCACCCCCAGGCATAATCTGCAGCAATACAAGAGAAACCAGTCCCTGATGTACCAGGTGTATAAACCATTAAGAACACTCAGTTATTGCCAGTTGCTGTGCATGTCATGGGCTGGAAGAGAATAAAGGAATGACAGGCATTTGTGAAGCGACCAAGCATGAAAGATGATATATTTGATGCCCAGTTTACTGGACCAGAGTGGTAGGTATGTGTTCACAAGAGAGTTAAGAGACAGGTTGATTTAGCAGGGGCCTCGGGACTAGTATGGGATTTGTCTTAGTTACTTTTCTATTGCCATGGCAAAACACCATGATGAAGACAACTTATAGAGGAGAGCATTTAATGGGGGCTTACAGTTTCAGAGGGTGAAGCCATTACCATCACGGTGGGGAGCATGGCAGCAGACAAACAGGCATGGTGCTGGAACACGAGTCGAGAGCTTATATCTGAGCCACAAGCAAAAGGCAGAGAGAACTAACGTGGAATGGCATGTGCTTTTGAAACCTCAAAGCCCACCTCCACTGACACACCTCCCCTAATAAGGCCACACCTCCTAATCCCTCTCAAATAGTTCCACCTATGGGGAACCAAGTTATAGTGGGAAATTACCAATACGGAGTCAGGTAGAAATATAAGGGTATTTAATAGGGAAAAGCCTTACTTACAGAGCGACCTAGCCAGCCGGCGTGGCAGCAGTCTGTACGCAAGCCCAAAAGAGAAACTGAAAGCGAAAACGCAGTCACCCTACGTCCCCTGACCATGCCCTCACAAGCTTTCGAGGGCGTGGTCAGGCACACCTGTAGCCAGCCCCTAAGTAGGCGTGGCTACAGCTTCCCCTACACCAAGTATTCAAATATATGAGCCTATGGGGGCCGTTCTCCTTCAACCACCAGTGTTTTAATGACTTTGCTGAGCTCTATGATAGGGCACAATCCTTTGTTTGTTTTTCCATGACAGCATTTCTCTGTGTATCCTTGGCTGTCCTAAAACTCTGTAGACCAGACCGTCCTTGAATTCAGAGATCTGACGGCCTCCACAGTGCTGGAATTAAAGGGGTGCGCCACCACCACCTGGCAATAGGGCATAATCTTTACAAGGTAGAAGAGGATATGACAGATCTGAGTATTTTAGACTGGCATATGGGTTGTGATTGTAAAATGCTCAAGAGAAAACTGGAAAAGAAAAAGCAAACTGGCAAAGGAGTTTGTCCAGGACCTGTCACTTGACGGCAAATGTAGTAGCAAGATTCACATGGAGCCAGAGTCCTTAGGGTAAAAGTTACCAGAAAGCCAAATGCTGTGCCAATGAAGCTGTAGACTCCCAGGCATGTCAGATCTTCAGACTGTAAGCTGCCTGAGGCCAAGGACAGCTGTGAATGTGACCCAACACAAAAATGTAAACTTCAACATTATATTTTTACAATTAAAAAAAAAACCAATTGTGTGATTCTGGAGCGTGAATTCCGTAGATGATTAGGCCCTTCCTTATAGATTGAGAGCCTGAGCAACAGTCTACAGGAGACAGGAAGGATAAACAGTGCATCTGAAAAAGAACATGGCTGCCTTGGGGTGGACAGTTATTCCCTCGCAGTATGTGGTGTCCCCTTCTTCCCCCCGAAAGAAAATGCACCGAGGGTTGAGATGGGACGAGATTGTTGATCTAGCCTGGGGTCTGTTTGCCAGACAAGATGGAAAGGCCAGGGCCACAGCGCTGGCCTGGAGGTTGTTAGAGCCGGGAAGCTGCCTCCAGTGGAAGCACAGCAGGCCTGAGTGTAGCCTTTGGGCATGAGGCATGGGTGGAGGGACACAAACCTTCCCCATTCAGTCCAGATGGGCAGGGAGACTTGCAGGAGCCCTGCCAGGCAGCAGAACCCCAGGATACAGAGGTGAGATAGCTCACAGACAATGATTGTGGGTTATGGAAAGATACCTGATCTGTGTCTCCACTGCTGCTGTATCCAGTTTAAAAGTTTTAAAAGTTTTAAAAAGGTTTCTTTTTGTTGTTGTTTTTAATGAATGTGTATGAATGTGCTGTCTCCTCTCATATCTGACTCCCGGTCAGACTCAATGTCTCCTCAGTGGCTTTCTGTGGCCTAACTTCCAGCCTCCACCTCACCTCATCTCCTCCTTCAAACACCCTCGTGCTTCTTTGCTTGGCAGTCATCTGGATCCCCTTAGACTGTGAGGTCTGGCAGGGCTGGGCCAGATCTCACTTCAGGATAGCTCTGTAGGCACGGGCATGAGAGGGTAAGGGGTCCAGGATACCATAGAGGTAGGTTTTCCCCTCAGGAGGACCTCTTTCCCCTTGCAGTTTGCTATGGGTGTCCCAGTTTACGGAGGGCATCTTGCCCACCCTGCCCTCTGCAGGCCTTTGCTCAGTTGTATCTGATCTACAATGATGTGGTAAGGATAGGCACAGGCCTGCCTTCCAGAGACCCACAGCCTATTAACAGAGATTCACCGATACGTAAGCAGATAGGGTTCGGGTATATTTATTAGGTAAATATGCCTTACAGTGCACCAAGCCAACCGGCAGGGAAGCAGAGCAAGTGGATGCAGCAGCGAGAAGAGAGAATTCCCACATGTGTCCCCAAGTCTTAAGCTACAACTCACCTCATCCTGTAGCCAGCCCCAGGAGGCATGGTCAGGGTGACCCCTACAACAGCCTGTTGGATACATGAGGCTACAGGACAGAGGGGACCCAATCCAGGTTCTCAGGATAGGGTCCTTGGTGCCAGGAGATACATGCTCAGGAAGTGATGTGAGGGACAAACGGGTCAGGGCAGGAGACACCAGCAGATGGTTATGGGGTGTCCAGAGAAAGGTTGGTCTTATTAGATCATGATTGGGTAAGGTAAGGATTGGAAGCTGAAACAAGATAGCTGTATCCAAACTGGAAAATGGTACAGTAACTCCCGAGGGGCTGGGAGATGGAGGTTCTTAGGCAGTCACTGGCTACCTGGTCTAGCACCCAGTGTCCAGAGGAGGAAGTGACTTACCCAAGGTCACTGTGTGTAGAGGAGGAAGCCTGGGCTTCCTGACCCAATGCCTGAGGTTGTGCTTCTGCAGGAAGCTGCCTTTAGCAGCCACAACGACTGGAAGCTTTGGAGTTCGAGGCTGCCAGCAGTCAGGCAGGTGCCTAGGGCCTGCAGTCTGGGGATGCCTCTTTGTCCCCCATCTCCTGTCTTGGGGTGGGCAGACACTATGGGCCTCGCATCTGCTCTTCCAGTCACAAGAAACTGTTTTTTTCACTTCCCCTACTCCACTCCCCGCTGAGCTACTCAAGGCCTTACAATACTGCAAATGTCTCCACTCGGGACAGAGGCATCAGTCTGACACTGCCTTGGGGCCTGGTGTGGTGTGGCATATTGGTGGCTGATATGGTGAATCCTGTATGGGTCCTGACCCAGACCTCTCCCTGCCCCTAACTGCCAGCCAGCTCTGCCCCCTTCAATCTGTAGAAATTTGCACTGCTCCCTGGTGGCCACACGCATTTAGCCCAGGCTCCAGGTCTGCTTGCCCTGGCTAGCCTTGGTCATCTTAAAGAGCTAAGCTCCAGCATCAGGGGATATGGCAGTCTTTGCAGAACCTGGGGACAGAGATTCTTCTTTCAGATCGGGTCTCTGCAATATCTCTGGGGCTAGGGCTCTAATGGGGACTGTGACAGCAGAGGGAAACGTGTATGGAGAGGGGCTCCCAGGTTTGATGGCTGTGGATCTGAGGGCAGCCCGGCCAGGTTGATGGTGCTGTGTTTCCCCGCCCCCACCCCAGAAAGAGCACTTTACACACAGCTCAAGGACAGAATGACAAACTTTATTAGAAATGTTCCTTGCTCGTGGGTCACATTCACATTAGAGTGGAGGCTGTGCCTTCTGGCTCTGGTATCCCACACTGTGACGATTTCCAGTTACACATGAGTCTGAGTGGGGAGTATCTGGAACTCACCAAAGATGCTGAATGGTGGTGCTGGTGGCAGCAGCAACACTCTGTGAGAGGATGGGTCTCAGGCCCTGCAGAGACTGTGTGTCACACCCACCCCTTCCAGTCCCAAGGCCACGCCAGGGGCCCCAGCTGATAAATAAACAGCATGTCACACACATATTGGAAACGCGAAACAAACTGTGGAAGTCTCCTAAAGTGAAAAAATAATTTGCTCAAAGAAAGCTCTGTGACAACCAGGCTTCACCCTGAATGATGGCCACCAGAGTCCTGGACACTCAGGGTGTCACAGACTTGGTGTCCTGAGAACTCCTGCCTCCTTAGCACCTTTGGGAGAAAGCCATCTTCACCACACACCTCTTTCAAAATGCAGACGCTACCTAAAACGATCATACCCAAGAATAAACTCTGTCCCTGGGGCAAGTCATCACCAGACTAGTGTCCCTGAATAGAGGGGTGGGGACAGTCAAAGGACCCTATCCATGGTGGAAGAGGGAAGGAAGGGATGAGGAAGCCTGCTCAGAGAGGAAAGCCCAGGTTCTTCGCACTGCTGTGGTCCCTGGAGACTTGTCTCTCAAAGTGGTACTAAGTCTTAAAATGGAAGGACAATCTCCCTGCCCTGGCCAGTGGCAGGCAGGGAGGGGACCATCAAGGATTTGCTTCCATCATTCATTATTCAGAAGCTATTTTGTCTCCACTGGCCAGTTTTCCTGGGCGTGTCTGCAGTGGGGAACAGGATGCCGTCTCCTGCCAAGTGTTTTATTCATTCTCTTGAGGAAGAAGTGGTCTCTGCACTCTGGTTGACTGGGTGGCCTTCTGGTCCTGGTTGATGATGGCAGCAGTTTGGCCCTGGCAGTCACAGTGGCAACAGGCGTTCCTTTTCTAAGTCAGTGACACATCCTGATGCTCTGGAGCTAGGTGCTGTGTGACCACAGATGACAGGAGGCCTTCAGCACCGCTCACTGGTACTGCAGATAGTTTTTGAGAGACTGAGGCAGGGGCAGGGAGTCGATGTCCCGCAGGCGCTGTCTGCCCAGGGCTGAGCGGATGGATCTCCGGCACAGGTCCATCAGAGGCAGGGGCTCAGCTGCAAAGACAGCAAAGACAGAGAAGTGTGTCTGCTCACACCTCCTCGCTCCACCCAGGTTGCCCACTGTCTGCCCTTTGCCCCTGAACTAGCTCAGGGGCCCCTTTCCTAATGATCCATCCCTGCTTACAGTAAGAGGCCCTCTGCAATGTTTATGAAAGGTGGAACACAGTTGGTCAGACTAGAAGATTTGGAATAACCAGGGGTGAGTACTGGTGTTAAAAGATTAATAGTGAAGCTGGGTGGTGGTGGCACACGCCTTTAATCCCAGCACTTGGGAGTCAGAGGCAGGCAGATATTTGTGAATTCGAGGCAGCCTGGTCTACAAAACTACACAGAGAAACCTTGTCTTGAAAAATAAAATAAAATAAAATAAAGATTAATAGTGGTCTTAAACTTACCTACAGCAAGGTCTTAAACTTACCTATACCTTACCTAAATTCTGATGTAGAGTATGTAGTTCAAAAGTGTTTGAAAGGGGTATCTTTTTAAAAACAGTAATTTGTCCCAGCTACTCAGGAGGATGAGGCAGAAGGACCATTTGAGCCCAGAAGTGCAAGGCCAGCCTGGGCAGCACAGCCAGACCCTATCTCAAAGCAAACAAGCAAACAGAGTAGACTCCACCAGCTTTTGAAATTCTTTCAAACCCTTACCGTTTCCCTACAGTGTTTATGATGGGCAGTGTGGAAGGACACATTTTCTTACAGCATTCAAGTTCTAGAAAAATCCATACATTAAGATCTACCAGGGGCCTGGAAGGTGGCTCAGGGGGTAAAAGTGCTTGCCACACAAGCCTGGTGACATGATATTGATCCTCAGAAGTCACTTCCGGGCATTGGTGGCGCACATCTTTAATCCCAGCACTCAGGAGACAGAGGCAGGTGGATCTCTGTGAGTTCGAGGCCAGCCTGGTCTATAGAGTCAGTTCCAGGACAGGCTCCAAAGCTACACAGAGAAACATTGTCTTGAAGAAAAACAACAACAACAACAACAACAACAACAACAACAACAGCAACAACAAAACAAAGCCAGACATCTGTAAGTCCAGCGCTCCTTCATGGAGACAGAAAACAGATAAGAGATCCCAACCCAACTCGGTGGGAGGGGGGAACCTACTCTCCAAAAATGTCCTCTGACCTCCACATGTACACCACGGTGCAGTTACCCAATCCCCAAGAGTAAAAACCAAACCAAACCATAGCAATGGCACCTCTGGATACAGGACAGTTTACTGAATTACCTGGGCTCACTGAGGGTACACATACTAACACTTATCTCTTCCAGGTCCTGTGGTAACTCCGGGGGTACAGAGGCAACTAAGCCAGAACCAGAGCCAGGGTCAGCTTGTAGTCTGGGATTTTTCTCATGATCTTGGATTTTAAAGTAAATGAATGATTTTTTTTTTGTTTTTAATTTTGTATATGTGGCTGTTTTGCCTGCATGTATATCTGTTTACCATGTATATTCCCACAGAGGCTAGAAGAGGGTGTTGGATACCCTGAAATTGGAGTTACAGATGGTTATGAGCCACCATGTTTGGGGCTGAGAATTGAACCCTGGTCCTTTGTAAGAGCAGCCAGTGTTCTTAACCTCTGAGCTACGGATCCAGCCCCAAAATAACTTATGTGAGTTATTTTAAAATAACTTAGGTGAGCTATTTTAAAAGTGTTAATATATGAAAGAACTCATGAGTGCACAGGGACGGAAACTAGGCAGCTGCTGGATAGCTTCGAGGATAGAAATCTAAATAGGGTTTTGAAGGATGAGTAGGAGTGTTATAAACTCATGGGGTGGGCAGTATTGTAATCAGGGAGACTAGGCAAGGACCAGGAAGTCAGGGAAGCTGAGGAGGGGAACAGGGCTGACAGCGCAAACAGGCCAGTGGGAAATGAAGATGACAGTGGTCCATGTCACTCATGTGGCTGACATGGGGCCCAGATGCTTGCACTGCCGGTAAGTGTTCTTGGGGTAGTGGAATAGGTAGGATTTTTGAAAGCATTCAAAGGCACGGTCAAATCCTAAGTAATAAACACAAATGTGTCAGCTGTATGGGAATGGTATCAGGAGGGATGGGGACAATGGCAGCTGGGGTTCCAAGGGAACTTCTGCTAGAGACGCAGTTCCAATGGGACGCCATCAGAATCCAAGGGGGGCATAGCTTGCTCTCCCTCCATCCTGCACTAGTAGCTTTACTTCCTCCTTATCTTTTAATCCTCATACAAATGAGGCTAGCCAGGGGACTCCGGCCATGCATCCTGGTATGACCTGTCCCTCACTCTATTACAAGAGCAACTCCACCCCTCTCCCCCGCCCCTTGTCCTTCACAGAGCCAGTCCACACGTTGCCCTGCCCTGTCAATCAAGCCCCTACTCTAATCCCTCTGCCTTCAACACCTGGCTGGTCACTTAGCAGGGATTGTGAGGTATAAAATATGTTTGTAGCTGCTTTCTCCTGAAGGATTATTATGTGGCTGTTATAATTAAGAAAAGCAGTGCACAAGAGAAAGACGCCATGCCACAGGGTTCAAGCAGAGGGGATTTTTGACATGAGCATCAGGAGACAGGAAGGGGGAGAAAGAGGGAGAGAGGGAGCGAGGGAGAGAGAGAGAGGGACAGACAGAGAGAGGGAGGGGGTGATGGGAGGTGGGCAGGGCCCCTTTAAGAGGGAGCATAGTGAATATGCACAGGTGGTGCTCTTAACGGCTGCAGCTGAGGATGTATCCTGTCAGAACCTCAAGAGCAGGCCGTACAAATGCCTAAATACTAACAGTGACCATACACACACTAAGCTCTTTCGGGGTGCTCAATTCACCTGTACCCCTTGGGGCAATAGATATTATGATTATCATATATATTTTAAGGAGGCAGAAGCTGAAACAGAGTGCATTTACCTAAGGATGCACAGCTGGTAAGTGGCAAAATTAGAACTCAAACTCACGGAACCAGACTGGGAAACTCGCCTTCTCTCACACCCACATTCACTGAACATGGGCTTGCCCTACTGCTAGTCTGAGCCGATCTCACTGAGGTCTGAAGTCAATGTGGCTACTTACTCCTGGCTGAGAGAAAAGGAAACTGAGGCTTGGAGAGGAGACGCTTGTCTAGAGTTGCAAAGCTTGCATATGAGTGTCATATCTCCCCTCCCGCAGACAGTAATAAAAAGATGGACTCGAGGGGCAATGAAGGTGAAATCACTTGTCTTCCAGACTCCTGGAAGACTGTGCCACAGCCTCAGGCTCTTATTGTGTCCCCTGCGGTCACTTTCCAGGTCACTGCTGCCCACCTTTCCCACGTGACTGTAACACTGCCACTTGGAAGCAGCCATGTTGCTGCTCCCCACCAGTACGGTGCCAAAATCAACTGCACCTGTCCCCAGGATAGAAAACAAACCAGCTCTAGTCACGGAGGGGCCCCAAGAACAGGTGACTGCAGTGATGAGCCTCTTAGGCAGGATTTTAAGTGAAAGAAGAGTGTGCTGTGTGTGACTCCCACAAGCCCTGTAAGGTCAAAAGTAGCTGGTGATGATGTATGTTCAGGGTGTAGTGGCGGGGGTGGTGGTGATGGTGGAGGGTTACTTTTAGGCTTGTGTTTGGCTCTCCTTGCCAGCTTGCCTTGATGCCAGCAGGCAGCAGCTTGAGATCTGGACACTTTCTTCACCTATTACTCTTCAAAAAGATGTTAGATCTGAAATAAAGGTACTACTCACCGAGTCAGGCCTCAGTTCCCTCCCCCGGGGTTCCGGGACAGGGATGAATACACATGTCAAGCAAGAATAAGTGAAAAGGATACAAGGGGCTAGCTTGGAAACCCAGCTCCCACTCAGCCCTGCCAGCCAGAGGAGGCTGGCTCCTCTTCTCCCAGCCCCACATTTTCTCATCTGTAAAATGGGACAGGATGACAGCATCACATCGTGGACTATATGTGGACAACAGCATGGTGGGCGTAACCTGCCCTTTGCCGAAATACACTTTCAAGCCATCAGCTCAAGAGGTATCTTTGAAAACAGTTACACTATGGTTTACTGTGCTTCTAAAAATGTTTCAGTATCCTACCCTGCTACCCTTCTGACAGCCAACTTCTGCTCTTGATGAAGACTCACCCAGGCCAGCGAGGAATGCCTGGTTCTATGCTACAGACATCTCAGTCCTGTTGGAAGTCCTGGGCAAATTTCCCTCAGTTATCCATCACTAACTGCTGTACAACCTGAGATAAATCACAGGATCTCCAGGGACTCTGTTGTCATCTGTAAAAATGGTAACTCAGCTCTTGGGGTTGAAGGGACCAGCTCCCCATTTTGGCAGCCATGACAGTAACACGTGCTCACTATGACCTTGCCTTGGTCACTAAGAGGTCAGATGCCTGCCTCGTGGCAAGGAGCCAATCAGAAGTTAGCTGGTGGCGCTATGCTTTATGGCTCTGGGTGTACTTTACGGGACAAGCGCACAGCAATGACTCGCAGGGCATAGCAACCACCCTGGGAGGGCCTATGGGCCATAACAACCAGTTGGCCAATCAACACAGGGCAAGCCCTCCAAGCCTGGAGGCACACCAATCCTGAGCCTGTGCGTACCCCTAGACAACTCCCCTTAGGCTGCCCTACAAGATCTCTCGGCAGCCGGTTCGAGGTGTCTTTTGTAGCCATCCACCATGGTGGGTGGGTAAAAGACCCGAGCTAACATGGGTTAGCTCGTTAAAAACAAAAACAAAAACAAAAAACAATAAAGCCTCATGTAGTTTGCAACAAGCTCTCGAATCTGCCTGGTGATTAGGGTGACTGAGGTCGTGGGCTGAGACCCCGGAGGCCTGAGTTTTTCTGGGGGGTCTAACAGGGTTAGCTTCAAGTTTGTTGTCAGGGATGCCGACAGGTGGAGAGACTGGTAACAGAGACTGGTAGAGAGCCTGACACAGAGAATGGTGGCTTCAGCTGTCTTCCCAAGTCTCCCCACCTGCCATGGACATGTTAAGATGTGAGTCACCAGCTACCATCATGCCTGAATTTAT